TCTCTCTTCCCCATTGGCCCACCATTACACCACACTTTCAGTATGACATCATCATCATCTTCCCTTCCCTTCCCTTCCCTTCCCTTCCGCTTCGTTTGTTGGTTTGTTTTGCTTTGTGTCTGTGTTTTCATATAGCTTTGGCTTTGTTGTTTTGTTGATTTTTGTTAGTTTCTTTTTACTTTCGTTTGTTTGTGTGTTCATCCTTGTTTTGCCATTACCTTGCCCCGTGTTACATGTTCAACTTTTGTGTTCTTTTATACCCTGCTCCTGTGGATTACTCTTGTTTTCCCTTATTTGTATTCCTGGTTCACTTGTGTTTGTGTGTGAACTTTAATATATAAGGTTAGTTTAGGTTGTTGGGGTACACTTTACACACTTAGTTGATTTTGTATTAGTACACTAGTTTAGTACGAGTGAGTGCCATTTGTCTTGTATGGTTTTGGGTAGTCGGTGCAGGTTAGCTAGGGTGTTGAAGACGCCGAAGACCGTGTGTTTTGGGTTTTCTTTTGTAGTCAGATTAGCTTTCCCTCACTGTCCTAGCCAGCTCCATTTTGTTTATTTTCTTTCTTTTGCCACCACTCTAGTTCCTTACCCTTGTAATCACGCTTCCTAGTCCCTCAACAAAACCCACCTGCTTCCAAAAGAATTATCCTAAATGTTACACCCCTTTACCCCTAGACACTTGGACGTAACAATCACAATAATCTGGATTTATATTGGGACTACTGCTCTTCCTAATTTATGGAAATCAAAGATTTTGCTGATATTAGTTAGTAAAATTGTTACTGGGGTCGACAACAAGCAGCAGCGTAGGAAATCCAAAAAAACAATTTTCAGGACTGGCCCAAATACATTTAATGAAGGAAAGTGCATGTTGTTAATGTACTGGATATGCAGGTAGCAAAATCTAAACATTAAGTGGATGTCTTGAGTTTGATGTTGTACCATTTACACAAAGTTCTGTCCTGTTCAAGTGCAGTTTGAAAGTAGAACACATCACCTTTGTAGTTTTTCAGAAGCTGGGATGTTCAAATGCAATCTTTTCTGTTAAAAATCCAATATCACAAAATCATTGCAAATACTCTGAGCATGTGCCTGAAATAGTTTACTGTAAATAGCAAACAGGTACCAACTGTATTTGTGATTCATAAATTTCAATCTTAAAGCATGGTGCTTTGAGGAACAATGTGCTCAGATGCTGAAATCAAGGCACACGAGGGATTGGAAGGCACTGTGACTGCACATTGTCTGGTTAAATACAAGTTATCATTTTTGTCATTATCATTGTTATCATGGCACCTTAAAAACAGCAGTACAGTTCACACTGAATTGATTTAATAGTGCAAAAAGGTGTTTTGTTTCTTTTGCTTTGCTTTCATACAGCTACTGTTTGCTGTATGTATCTTGCTTACTGATTAATGTAAAGTATAGTGTTATTTGCCTCTTCATGTGAAATATGATACTTAATCAAGGTGAAACATTTGTCTAGATTGTAAGATTAAATACTCTGGCAGTTTGATCTTTATGTGTTCACATTGTGGTGAAATCATGGTGTTCTGATTTGGTCCTCATAGTGAAACAGAGAAATGTGAGTTTATGGAAAAAAAAAAGTCAGGGATATTGGTAAATTAAAGTCCTGTCATGATAGAGAATTCTGGCAATAAGAACTGATACCTGTATGACAGATGTATTGCCTGTGGTGAAAAAGCCCTAGTTAATGACAAATCTCTAGATAATGTGCAAAGGAATAAAAAATTGAGATCATTAAAACTGGTAAAAAAGCCAGTATTATTATATCAACTATGCTATTTATTTTTTATGTTTTTAAATTACAGTTCTCATGATACAGTATGCACATGAGATGCACAATCCTAATAAATTAAACATTACAAGACACCTCACAAGCTTACATCTTAGAGCCAATTGGTGTGAGTGTCACTCAGGACCAAATGATCAGACACGGCTGATCACTGATACCGAGTTTGGAAAGTCTGCATGGATTCAAGGGGGATTTGTTTTGTCATATATTGATTCCTACGAAAGGACAGGGAAGAAAAGACTATGTTATCACTGGAAGAGGTCACATTGGGTCACATTTCAAAATTAAAACATTCTTCCTTGCTCCGATCTTTGAACATACCCATGCTTTAAGTATATGTCAAAACCACTGCAAGGCATTAATAATGAAACAAAATAAAGCACTCAGCTTTGCATTGTCAGTGATATCTTTTTGAGCAGCAGCTTAAAACAGTGTACATGACAGTTTGAAACATGTGCAAACAGAATTGTTCCCTGACATGGTTGAAATGCTCCTAGTAATAAATAAAATGTTTAATCTAAGTTCTTGCATTGCCATGTTTACTTTTTATTTAATTCTGAACCATTGGTCTACTGTATATTCTTCCACGTCTTTTCAACCATCGATAGGTAACTATGCTCTGTACAACGTAATTATTTCTTTTTAAAATGTTGTAAAATGCTAAATCATTTCCTATAATACAATCATGCACCTCTGACAATGAAGATACAAACCAGGAAGGTAAAAATCACAAATGTACATACTGTATCAAGCACTATCAACATTTGTCAGCTTTGACATTATTTCTGGATATGTATTATTTTTGTTTTGCACTACAATATACATTAGAATGTTTAGATTATTATCTCCTGAAAATACTGAAAATCACTAGGTAAGTGATACTGTACATTCACATTTTGGAGCACACTTGTTGAGCATTTATTACAGTAAAAATTAAACTCTGCTTTAACTCAGATTAAGAAAATAGTCCAATAAATAGTCCACTGTTCTTTAGACTATAAAATAAACAACTCTGCATGTGATTGTAAGTGTCTTAGCACTGTTTATACAAGCCATTTTCTAATTCTTAAAATATTAACAAGGCTGAGACTAAAAATACTGTATGTCCATTTGTGTTTGTGGATGAGTTATTACAACCTTTCTGAGCAGAATAAAATAAAAACATATTTTATCTGCTGTGATTCATGATACTTGCAAATCCTACCTGACATACAGTACTTAAAGACTGCAAACTGCTAACAACACAGGTGCTACCTAAAAAGAAATGACTTGAAACCATGGAAAAGACACAACCTGTTTCACAAGTACTGGGATAAAAAAGTCTAAACATTTTTTTTCCCATCATAGTCAAGCAATTTGTATTTGTAATTGTAAGACTATAATGATAAGGACAATATAAAATGTTGATTTAATATGTAATGTATTATATTGCATATGTTTATGTAATACATTATTTTAGAATAATCTGATTAGATAAAATGAGTCTGTCTGAGATACAGTATAAGATGATGCTGTTGATATACAGTAAAGCAGGATATGAAAGTGGCTTAATGCCTGAGCAGTATTGTTGTTGTAATGGAGAAAACATTAGGGCCCAGATTAGAAACCTGTGGCACTCCCTTAGTGATTGGAAAGGATGAGGAAACAAATCTCCCAGATTTTATAGAGTGTATATTGTTTTGAATTAGTTCATATCAATACCAATATTATAAAATGTTTTCAGAAGGACTGAATTATTCACAGATCAATATCCTTAGATAAACATATTGTGACACACAGAGAAGGTGAAGGTGTGTAGGAAAACAAAGCAAATCAAACAAAAACCTAGCTGCTTATCTTTGAGCTCCTGACAATACTTCTGTTAAGATGCTTATGGTCTTAAATAGAACTCTCCAATACAAAACACCTCTTAAAGACTCACAGTTCCACAGAGAGTGAAAATCACAGGCCTGCTGTCTTACATCCATGCTCTTTCTTCCAACCTAAAGTGTGACAGTGACCTTGACTCACAATTTCTTTTTTCTTAAGTCCACTCTAGCTAAAACCAGGCCTGACTAATCTCCTGTCAACCTGGTCAAACTCTCTTGAACCTACTGTACCAAAACTAAAATAGCCTCAGGCTGCACAACTCATTCCACTTCAAGGAGTATTCAGCTGGATTTTCCCACATCCTAGAACCTCACCTCCAGGCTGATTAATGGTTTCTCTGGTGTAGTCTGGTAGGAACATATACTGTAGGACTGCATCAACAAAATATTGTTTCTTTGCCACAGTAGACAATATACTGTAAATGATTCACTGAAACAACATTGGATAGAGACAATCGGAGCCCTGAAATGGTTGCTACATTTCCTCTCAACACTAGAGAGTATATGAAGTGGGGTATGGTGATTGTAGTGGATGAGCTGCAGGCTGAGCAAGTATCTACAAAGCAGCCAGCCACACTTTACTTTTCCTTTCAGTCAGCTCTGGTTACCATGGTAATTAATTCAATGGGAGTCTTGTACCACCTGGAGGTATTTATCTACCATGACCACCTGCATGTGGTTCAAGACTACAAAAGCTGTGATTTGTCAATGCTCAGGAACTCTTCTCATAGAGATTGCCACATTCCTAGCTTGGTCCTGAGTTCTTGCTGTGTTTGTTTCCTGGTTTCTGACCCCTAGGTTCTCCCTGAATTCATTAATCTAATTCACCTAGTTGCTATGTACTGTGTCTTTGTTTACAGGCTAATTTCCCTTAGCTCTGAGTTTGAATTTCCACTTGTGCTGTGCTTCTGTATTTACCTGGGTTGGACTTTGCCTGTTTTTGGAATAAGCCCTGGACTGTTTATGGACTGTGTTCATCTGTTGCTTGCTGTGAACAGTGTACTGCTGGCTCACACAGCTGTTTGCCTGCTCTTGGGTTTATTTAATGAAAACCCAACACTGATCATACTACCTTCAGTAGCGACATACAGTAAAGTACAATAGGTTTAGATGTTTTTAGATACAGGTAGGTGTTTACAATTGGAAATGAAAGCATTTTAATCTTTAGTCAATAGTGTAAATACAGTTTGGCTCATCCTAATTAATCATACAGTATCCAACAAAGCCAACTTAAAATGTGTATTATTACAGATTTTAAATATTGTGGTGTTGAAACTAAGGAGGTATGATAAAAATGAATACAGAATCATCCAATAAAGAATACAGCTTTATTTCAAAATGGTTACTGAAAATACTTAAGCAAGCAGACAAAATGATGTTTGCAGAAAACACTATGCTTAAAATAACCAAACAGATCAATGCGTAACTGCACCGATACATGTATAGTGGCTTTTTAAATATGTTTTTTACAAAAATAAATTTGCTATGCTAGTGTATACGTCTTATTTTCCATTTTCTGCATATTACTAATATAAAATAATAATTTGTTATGACACATCACCATTAACAAAAGTATAACAAAAATATCCACTCATTTATAATTTCAAAAACAGCTTTTAAGACAAAGACTAATTTCAATAACGCACAGAAAAATGACAAGCTATCTGGGCTTTTACACGCATGTGCGATCAATTTGCTATTTTTTTTAATGACTCTAAAAACAGTGTTCCACAAGTCTCAGTCCTTGAGGGTCACACACCAGCATGATTTATAAGTATCTTAAATCAGTCAGTGCTGTGTACTAATGCAAAGGGTTTCATTTATCCACTTAGTTAAATAAAATTAAATGATTATATCTGAATTGGAATAAAAAATTGTTACAATATGTTGCCATGAATTAGGGTGTTTGCTAAGCAAATTTTGCTACTGTGGCTGCAGTTGCTTAAAATAATTGCAGTATGTGACCCTCAAGCAATGGAAAAGACAAACATTGGTATGAAACAACAGTGAACAGAATTGTAACAAGCCAAAGTGACAAAAACATCACTGTACAATGTTTAGTATCTAAACCAGGAATCCAGTACTACAAAAGACCATTTTCTACAGTTTTTGATACATCCATAATGGTCTGGCATTTAATACCTATTATTAATAAAAGTACAATTGAAAGAAGTAGCAATTTAGTAGCCTAAATGTGGGTGATTTAAACAACTTGTACACTGACCATATTAATGCATGTTTCAGACAAAGGTCTAAAAAATCCAACAGTCCTTCTGAAGGCTTAGACAGTGATGAGCAATGATCTTTGACAAGTCCTGCACTCAGGATATTGCCATAATGCAATATCTGTACTTTTTCTTAATCTGAAATAATTCTTAATTATTTAAGACTGGCGATACGTCACAACTACATGCTACAGTATTTACAAAATGAAATACATTTACTGTTGCTTCATTTTCAGTCTACTGTATGTGATGTGTTCAGCACTGCTCTTTTGCCTACTGAATAATCCCATTGTTTTTAAATGATGTGATTATGGCCTGCATGTCTATCAAATTCTATGTGCTAATATTTTGTGAGCAGTCAACAGATGAGTTAATCAAGAGTATCAATCAAAAAATGCTACCAAAGGAAACAGGTGACTACATTTCACACAGGTTGGAAAACTGGATTTACACCCCCTTTATTGTAAGAGATTAGCTTAATTCATATCACCTCACATATAATACATTGCTTTTCTCACCCTTTGACATACTTAACTTTCACAGGGAATGTTTGTATTTCGTAACGGCAGAAAATGCATTTCACATTATCAGTGATTAGCATGTTACAGCAATCAAAATGTGCACTGAAATGAAGGAAAATGTGTTGAATCGTATTTGCAGAAATCATCACTGACAAGTTTGTTTTTAAGTATTATCTGTCATTGTTATATAATTAATACTAATTTATATTTAAACAAATAATACATTTGGTAGAAGTTTAAAAAAATCAAAAGGTACTGTATGTATAGGCCTACTGTTAATGTCTCCAATAAATACATGTACTGTAAATCTATCTTTATATTGTCCATTTCATGTGTTATTTCATTGAGATTTTATTTTATATCTGTAAGAGTTAATATGATAAAGCACCAGTTCTTAAATCTATAATGTTTCTCCTACATTATTTACTTAAACTTGTTAACCATGCAACACTTTTCAGTGTTTCACAGTTCACAATTTGCTTTTCAGCTGTTAATAATGTAGGGCTTACATTATTAGAACTGAGTTTAGAACTGAGATTTCTACAGATTAAATGTGTTCAGAAAATGCATATAAAAAAGCATTTCCCTCTGGTTTAACTAAATAAAATGATGCAAGGCTACATATCTATTATAGCTAAAACCATTTAATGCCAGGTAAATACAGAAATCCTCACACCTCCTGGCCAGACAAATAATGTAAATAAGTGACATTGGTGGTCTTAAATGAAACAATCGAACTTTAAACGAGTGCATTGTTCTGGTCATTCTCACAAATTATTATATAAACCCCAGAAAATGAGCGAGTACATTCAAAAGTCATTTCCATTGTGTATTACATTTTCATGTACAAAAAAAAGCTATCATTCACTTCACTACATGTTAAAATACATTCATTTTTAAGTAATGCTGACATACTTTACCAGAACCATGTCTTTTAAGGTTAAATAACAAGACCAGTTTATAAACTTTCAGAGCAGCTGCAAAATAAACAGCGAAACTGTCACATTATTGTACACATACAGTATGACAATAAGATGGAATGAGTTTGACAGCTGTTTACACAAGTTATCCAACTCAGTACTTCAAAGTAAATACCATGCATTTGACTAGTAGTGACTTTTACCTGTTCATCAGTTCACTGCAGAAAACATGTTAAATTTGTAAGTACTCATAAAATATACTAAATATGAAATACAGGACACTGAAGCCTTCTGACTATCAGCTAATTAAATAGAACGCTTTGAGCCACATTCTTGTTTTCTTTTCAGTTCACTGCTGTTGTGCCTTAACAGCACCTTGCAGGAAGACCCTGACTCAGGGAAAGGGTCAGAGGTTTCATTTGTTGTGCTCCTCAAGGTTTGGCCTCTGAACTTGGGATGGCTTCCAGCAGTGGCCATCTCAGCCATGAGGTACAAGTCTGCTTTATAATTTGTAAGGCTCCTCACCAGCAGCTGGTATTAGACCTCCAAAGTCTGATCACACATCCACATACACACACTCAGAATATACCACAGTTATAAGCGACTTCAGAGCTTTCTCCAGGAGCTAAAACAAAGTTAAACAAACTGAAGCATGTTTCTTATAACTAGGACACTTTGGCTTTTAAATGTCACTGCAGGAGGCAGACAGTTTCCAGTGCATTCACCCTTTTGAATAGCTCATTCTGACAGAACAGCCCTCTCCCTGCAGCTTGGAGAGAGCTGTGACACAAAGTAGTATTCCATCTCTGAGAAGAGTGCAGAGTAACTCAGCGATAGCAGCTATAAGCAAAGGTGTATCTCAGACTGGCAATGCAAAAAATAATATGCAACCTGACAAAGCATTTTGTTCATAGAACTGGTCATACAAAAGTCCAAGCAGCCTATAAATAATGGACAAATCTAAATGATGTTGAATGTTTTGCTTTTCTTTGGAATGAAACAGGAAATTGTGGACCTGTGTTGAAAAGAATTAAACTTCTCAGCAATGTTACAGACTTAAATTATGATGGTGTATCAGCGTACACGATATAGGTGTAAGGATTTATATTGTCTAGAGATTAGAGTTATACAGTATGACTCCACAGCACAAGACAAACTACAATCATGGCACTTGTACAGAATCAGTTTCACACGATTTTCAGAAGTAACAAAAAGCATTTGAAATGTACTATTTACAAAACAACAAGGCTATTTCAGAATATCAATTGTTTAGGCATAACACAGAGTACATTTACGCATACACGTAATATAAAAAGATGCTTAACCCCATTATAGCAGTAATACTTAAAAAAACTATTTGATATACATCTCTATTCCTACTGTAAGACAATCTAAGCTGATATTTTAATGTAAATACATTAAAAGACATTCATTCTGTACTGTTTATCTGTTTATAAATTATAGACAGAGTGTGGTAACATTAGAAAAGGTCAAGATAACTCTTTAGACTTTTGTTTCAAAAACTTAACAAGGGATACAACATAACCTGGAGATGAATGACATATTGGATGTTGATGGCTTTTATAACCATTTATTTATATGAAAGGCGTGTTTTACTGTAAGAGGCAACTGTTAAAATATCTTTGATTTTAAGTTTTATATTTGTATTTAAATGCAATGTTATATTTATTATTGATGCAACTCTGTCAAAATTATAGAATTTTAAAATATTCTTAAGATAGCTGGAACACAACTAAAGCTCAGAAAGGGGTTAGGTTGTAGCAGCAGGAACAGATTTAGCAGAAGACTATAAAACAAACACTGTTTAGGTAAATTACATACACAAAACTTCATTAAATGAACCAAATGTTGACCAGTTTTAGACTTGATAGGTTTCTGTATGTACATACCATCAAAGCTAATTAAACATTTGAACGAGTTTTGTTCATTTAAACTTTCTTTCTCCCTGAAAAATAGTGATAAGTAATGACAGGTTTTTCAGTTTTTCAAATTAAATAATGTGAAGGATATGTGCCTCATCAGTATTGTATTATTTCAAATTTCTTGATGTTGTTTCAGAAACAGAATTAACAGCAATCAAATAGCAAAGTTTCCCTCTAGCTAGCATCTAGAAGATGGCAATATTTATGCTACATATTGCTAGAAATAATATTATAAAGCAATTCATAAACTCCACTTGCTGTTCTGTGTGTGTACATTTGTATGTGTGTTTAAATACAGTATTATGCAAAACTGGGTTATTTTGATTGTTAGAAATATTTATTAAGTTTCCCATAATAAAGTTATTCTTTGTAGCTTAATCATTTTAGATCATATTATGTTCAAAACAATATAATACAATAAGACAATTTAAAGCAGTTTATTAAATATATGAAATGTGCTTGCATTTGCAACACTTTAATAAAATCATACCAAATCAAAAACCACTGCTGATGCCGAAATCAAACTGAAAATAAATGTAAAATGGAAGTTGAATTGTCTTCCAGATTTGAAGAAAGAAACATCACATGAACAACATGTAAATATTGGCTAACTTATTAAAGGGGGCAACGTTATGGTGGAAACAACAAAGAAACCACTGAATTGTTGAAAACAGAGATGTGCAATACAATGGTTAAAAAACAGGACTGTTCAAAATCAAATGACCAACAAGGCATGACCAACATTCACAGAGCTTGCAGGACTCAAGTCAAGCAAGCAGCTGTCAGCCGAGATGACTTCCACAGTGTTTATATCTCATCTCATACTTAAAAGATGAAAGGTTGTCACATGTCTGAAGTTAAGGATTTCTGGAAGCCAAAGTTGGTTTTGACTTCAAAGTAAGTAAAACACTAATAAGTACATGTACAGTGTATTTGAAATATTAAGCCATTACTTCAAGCAGTATGGTCTATAAAGTATAAATTCTAGATGATGTCAGTTTATTTGCAGAAGAAATGACTGTATATGGTATAATATCAATACGTGAAATGGGTAAATAGATCTAATATTATATTGGATGTCTTAGTTTTGGGGGCTAGTAAATGAGTATAAATAGAATACTAACCAAGAATATTTCTGAACAGATACTATTGCACCTTGCAACTCACCTAATTGTAGTTTTCAAAATGGCAGTGAATCCAAATATACTGCAAACCTACAGGAATTATTTAAGTACTAAATGTTGTAGAAAGAATATAGGATAGTCATAAGTTGATAACCCAATGTTTTGAACAATACTGTACACTGAAGTTTATATAGCAAATTACAGGTTGATCTATACATTGAGATTATTTTGTCCACACTGCAGTGTTTCTATCTGAAGGCTTCAGGAATAGTCCTCTACCGAGGTGTTTGTGGTGCTGTAAAAACTTGAACTCCGGGATGTTTTAGTACTGTTGCCAGAACAGCCATTGATGCTGGTATATCGTGAAGTGACACTTTTCTTCCTTGCACAGTCAGGATTGTCTCCCTCATTGGGTTCGAAGACAACAGTCGTACTGGATTCAATCCTGGAGACTGTGTACATGCTGCTCTGGCGGGCTGGGTTAAATCGTGTGGTTCTCAACTCCAGCTCATCGTAGCTGGAGAATTCAATGAATGGGCACCATCGGAATGCTCGCTTGAACCCTGCCCTGAACCTAAATGGAAAAAAGATAGATATTGTAATACACAGAGCAATGGACTACTTTCTCTGTTAACAGATTTTCAACCAAGATTGGGGATCAAATCACAAAAAACACATGATTTACAGTGGGCTCAAGAATTATTAGCACCTTTGTTAAAGATGCACAAAAAAAGCTGTATAAAATAAATAGCACAAATAAAAAGATATATTTTATGTCCCCAGAATGAAAACAACTATGGGCTTGTATTTAAGTTCAAGTATATAAAGACATTTTCAAAGCATTCATTACAATTTATTTTCAAACAAATACAGTATAATTTTTAAAGTTCTGAGTAATACAGTTTTTCTCAAATATACATAGGTATCAAAATGAATCAGATCTCATGCTTCTATTACTTGGTGCAACCTACTCTGGCACGGATAACAGCACAAAGCCTTTTCCTATAACGTTTAATAAGTTTTTAGATTGGGACTGGGAGGGATCTTGGACCATTCCTCTCTGCAGAAATTTTCCTTGATTTCCTTATGGAGTAGCCTTTTTCATTTAGACCACAGGTTTTCAATCAGGTTTAAGTCCAGAGACTGAGACTGCAATACGTTGATTTTGTTTTAAGTCAAACATTTCATTGTTGATTTTGAGGTGTTTAGTGTCGTTGTCATGCTGGAAGGTCCATCTGCGACCAAGTCGCAGCTTTCTGGCAAATGCAAGCTTTTTGGCCAGAATATACTGATACTTAGTAGAGTTCATGATGTAATTGATCTTAACTAGGGCCCCAAGGCCAGTGGCATCAAAACAGCCACACAACATCATCGATCCACTGCCATATTTCACGGTGGGTATGAGATTGTTTTCTTTGCGTCCCTCTGGTGACGCCAAATGTACTGATGGCATGAATGGTCAAAGAGTCCAATTTTGATCTCATCTGACCATAGCACTCAGTTCTAATCAAAGTCCCAATAGCGTCTAGTAAATTCAAACCACTTCAATTTGACTTTCTCCTGGCAGTTCTTCCGAATAGCCTGTTGGCATGCATGTACCATCTAATTGTTGATTTGGAAACTTGGTAACACCAAGATGCAACCAGACACTGCAGTTCTCCAAATGTGACCTTGGATTCTTTTTTTGCCTTCCTCACCATGATCCTCTTTGTGTGTGAGGATATGATGCACGTTTGTCCTTTTCTGGTAAGTTTCCCACTGTTTAGTGGTTTTGAACTAATTGCCTTAATAATGCCAAGTGGTACTGTATATTTAACTTTTTATGTATATTTTGTATCTATTACCTGATTTGAGAAGATCAACAACCATTGGTCTCTTTTGATTTGTCAGGTCTTTGCGTTCCCTGTGGTGTTGGATGACAAAAGGTTTCCTCACGTGTGTTACCCTGTGTGTCCCGAAAAATCATTTCTTAGGACTGAGTTGTATTTAAGTAAGCAGAATTTCATTGCAGCTTTTATTTTGCTTGATTGTCTTTAAAAACAAAACCACAGGGGGTCCAATAATCTTGTCGCAGGTGTTTCACAGGGGTTGCTGTTGCTTAGGACAACCCAAGGAAGCTACACTAAACAGTATGTTCAATATAAAACAAAATTAATTCAACCCTTGGAACAATATACTGTAGCTTCTTAAGAAACCACAGTCCCAGGAGGTCCTACAATATCAGATTGTGAAAGAAACAAGGTTTTTGCCCCAGTTGCCTGCAAAAGCATCATTAAACTTAATGATAATTCTAGACTTGCGTGAAAAATGTAACTCTACATACAGTAATGTGAAATAAGAAAAAAAGTGTTAGTAGTCTCAAAAGTTTTACCACCTGTGGTTTTGACTGCTTTGATGTATCTTCCTCTAATACTTGATTGTGACAAGAGCCATGCTGTAGCTCAGCAGGATGCTCTTTTACACATTGACAGGTAATGCATACACCACAAGAAGAACCTGCTTATTTAAATGACTCATGAAAGTACCTGCTGTAGACTGCTTCTACAGATGACATTTTTGTAAATGGGATGCTCTTACTATGCTCAGCCTTTCTATCTTTTTAAAGAATGGTAAAGAAATGAAAATAACTCAATCAAAAGCTGTTAGGACCTTGCGGTATCTGAGCATACTATCAGATCATCTTCCTTTACAGTTTTTCTGTGTATCATTCAAAAAATACCTACTATACCTAAAACACACCTAATCTGCCTCTGTTTAAGTAAGGTAACACACCAATCAGGCACATATTATCTAAAAATAATACCATCCAAGAATTTAGGACACCTCAGAATAGTTAATTGAATGTGGATTAATTTGCTGATGATACTAGCAAAACTTGGAAAAGAATCAGAGGACAGATTTTCTTTATATTCAGTGAAACATCTTCATATTTCTTATTTCTCTGAACATTTTCTAAAATACAAATTACATTTACAGTACAATTCAGTAGAAACAGACAACATCAAAGCTTGGATGTAATGGTAATCTGACCATAAAGACAAAGTAGTGAGAACCCAAATATACAGTATCTGTGACATGAATCAAGAGGCTGCTACAAGGGCAATAATAGGGATGGGACAGGCCTCAAAACAATGAATGCAGGGAAACAAGGACTAACTTTTTGGTATTGAAACAGAAATAGGAAGTTTAAGAAACAAAAAAAAATCTCTCCTACATCTTATTTTCAAGATAACATTTCAGGTTGTAATTTGTACCCAGTTTCATTTTGGGGATGGTGGGTTGTATTTCTATTGCATTTTTCCAGTTGTTTCTCAGGTTTAAAGTTCATGTTACCAGATCTTCTAAAGAAACATTACAAAACATAATGAAATTAAAAAACACTACAGCCACAATAATTCCCACACCAAACTCTAAATCCTAGGATTAAAACAATAAATCTAGGATGCCTGACAAGATGTTTGATTAACTGAATGAGATAGAAAAGTCATTGCTGCAAAGAAATCAGTGGCAACCATGATTCAAGGCTACTCCATAGTATATGGATTTCATTCTTGATAGGATTTATAGTTTTATTGTCAAACCAATATTATTATGAATTATATCCAAGTGCATATCAATACTCTAGTGCCGAACTTCTTGAAAAAAAAATATAACTGATACAGAAAACCCCAGGATATAATAAATGATAATCTTTCAAATTTGAGGTATCCTGCTAGATTTGTTTGTTTTTTTATTGGGGGGGGGGCATGTGAGCATTTTCTAATATTTAGATGGAATAAAACAGTTCTTTTTTTTAGATCATAAACTGAATTTTGAATGATGACTCCAAGAATGACACTCCTATGCAAGAATATACTACTGTGATGCAAATTGCTACACATTAATGCATGCCAGAATGCTTTATAAAATTACAGAGAAAGCCTTGTCAGTAAAACATACTCCACATTTTTAGCACACTCAGAAAGACGGCTTTGCAGATTAGAGTTTAGGAATGCAGACTTTCTGTATACCTAATGTTGACTAATAAGGGGTTCACTGAGAATCAGAGCTCCAGCTTCAGCTGACTGAAGTCTGTGCCTTGAACTAATAAAAACAAATCTGCATCTTGAGATCTTAGGGAACAATTAGGCACATAAAGAATACATAACTTCTGAGGATAAAAAAAAACTGGACTACTTTGCAGCTACTTTAAATGGTAATCCCACTTAATGGAACAAGAAGGTTTATTCCATGCTGAAAAGAGAAGAAAGAAAACAACATGACATTGTGTTTTCTTTCTTCTCTTTTTAGCATGGAATGAACCTATTACTTGTTTCTTTGCAGCCTACGCATGCTGACGCAGCTACCCACCTGAACTACTTCAATCCCACTCAATTACAGGTTCGTCATAATTTCTATGTCAGTGTCAAATTTTAATGTTTCCCATCTCTTTCTTTAAGCTCTTAAACATTGGAAAAGAGTTTGATGTATTTTTATAAATATTTTATGAGTCATTTGCTTCATTACATATTTTCTAAGGTGACACAGTACTGTATATTTCTGTTTAATTCCTTTGAAAAAATTGAACTTGTTTATTAGATTATTGTACAATATATGTACAGTATGTGTGAAACTCACACTCTGCCTGTACCTATACAGTGGACATTTTTGTCTTGGAGTCATCTTTTACAATTTGTAACACTAGAGAATGCAGTCTGGGCTGGAGACCAAGTCTGAAATGACAGCACTGAAGACAAATTCTTAACCATACTGCCAAAACACTAGAAATGTCTGATGGTCTTTCTCAAGACATCAGAAACTGGTATTCTTAGTTTACAATGAGCAATGTGAAATTGATCTCTGGATTGTTCAACCTTTTCCATTTGGAAGCTTTTAAAAATATGTCTAGCGAGTCAGCTTAAGTGGTAAATATATGGTATCATTTAAGCGATGATCAATTGCTTTCTATAGATAAGGACCTGAACTAAATCCATTAATTTCTTCTACACTTTAAGCAAAAAACAAATCTTTATGGCACCCAGTAACATAATATATTCCATTATAAGTCAAATAAATGCATGACATAATTTTGTTCTAATTCAGGAAAACAGTAGCATAAAGAGATCTTTTTGAAATAGCATACATGGGGATTTTAATTAGATTATGCTAACTAAAGCGGGCAGGGAAGCAACAAAAGACTGATTTTTAAATAATACTGAGGAATTTGAGATTTCAAATTTCAGGGTTTTTCTTACCAGTTTTTGAAATGCTGAAAGCAGAATCTAAAGAGATCAAAGATATGGAGCAAAGAATCCAATAATGTACAGACAACATACTGAAAATTAAGGGGCAAAGTCAACAACCAAAAGTCAAACAAAAATTTCCAAATACTGTAGATGTTAGAAGGTCAAATCAAGAATTAAAACTTTGCTTTACTGTCAGCTTTAGTCAGTCATGTGTTTTGCCTTAGAAAATTGTTAAGAGCAGCCTTTAAGACCAGATTCAAATATTTGAACCTTGTTGACATAGCTTACAATTCTGTTGTTTTTAGGAATTGTTTCCTGGTAGAGTTTTAATGGTACAAACAGCCTCTCTTGATTAGTTGATACATTTATAGAATAGGCTTCCCATTCAAATTGTAGCATCCATATTTATGGAGTAAAAGATTTAACTGTAGGTCTTATTCTGTTAAGTTTAGAAGGCAGATTTATCTCTCTTTTCGGCCTGTGGACCGTAGGTGTTACAGTATATAGGATCTTTGAATAGCTGGTAGCAGTCGGAGTTTTTTCTGGTTGTTCAGAACATAAGTCACCAAGATGCCTTGTTTGTAAGTAATGTGTTGTGATGTGTTGTGTTGTTTAGTTTATGTCATTGTCATTGGTAAGAAATATTTGTTTAACTCAGTGATATATTATTCTGTTGCCAAAGCTGCACCAGAGAACAAAGATCTCAAGTGCCTCTACTTTACTAAACAACATATCTGTACAATTTGGGGGTTATCATTATTTTATTTACTCACTGATTATCCTGCTCAGATTATTTCCAGTACATTCTATTAAAATACATAACCCCCTATTTGTAACAATATTACAAAATTACAACTGAAGCAGTAAGAAGAACACTTAAATCTGGATAAAAAACAAGAAATTCCATTAACACAAGAGGGATAGGCAGGAAAATGTAATAGGGAAATCTTGTGATGAGGCTTTATCATCCTATCCAAGGTTGTGAGCAATCCGTGTAATATTGGAAATAAAACCACAACATGGTGTCAGATGTCAAACAATGCTGATTAAACTTAGAATCAAGGACAGTGGACTCTTCAATTCAATCATAATGTTTTATATTTCCTGGAAATTCCTTGATAATAGCACATGTACTATCAACACCGATGCACATAATACTAATATATGTAAACTGAGTGCCAAGTGTAGTGTGTTGATTTCATTTTGCAATGAAAACAAATTTCAACAGCTCATGTTGGTACAGAAATCAGAATGGACCTGCAAGCAGCTGAAGAGACACAGACAAAGGTAAACCTGCAATCAGCAATGGAATGCCATAATTTCTGGCAGGACAGACCAGAGATATACAGTACACAGCAAATGATTTGTTGGATATTTCAGGCAAGAGTTGCCGGAAACACTCCATGAAGGACATCAGGGATTAAACTATGTTTCAGCAAGAGAATGCCTCTGGTGTCCAGGCATGAAATGTCAGGTGTGTGATCTAGTAGTAAGAACGAGCCCAATTTCCTGAGTCATAAGTCAGGCCTCAACATCCAAAGTATACTGTATACTCAGTATTTTCAGTTTCGATTTCTCTAAGATTTTCTACTCACCATAATTAGTTATTTTTCGAATTAGGCACAGCTTCATTGTTTTGGTTTAACTGATTTGGCTCTAGTTACAAACAAAAGATACCTGGAATACATTTAATAACTGAAATAGAACAATAGGTTTATTCCATGCTGAAAAGAGAAGAAAGGAAACACAACGTTTCGGCCTTCTTCAGGTGTGAGAATAACTGAAATGTCAGGTTGCAAAACGTGGCGCAGTCACAGTCATAATGTGCATCGTACAGTCAACAGGATGCATTGCATTTACTGATTTTTTTAGAACTCTGTCAATTATCTGTTGATTTAGTAGAAAGAGCAGTCTAGTTCATATCCTCTTGTGCAAAAACCCATTACGAACTGTCTTTGGTTACAATGTATTTTATTTTTTGAGGAACCATTAGCAGCTTTATTCCATTTAACTTGGAATTTAACTTTTCCAGTGCTGACATACTGAAAATAGCTTTTGTTAGCTTAGAACATGCATATTCGGAAACCAAGAATTACTTGTCACTTTGATGCTCTGATTACTCACTTTGAGACATGCAGTCTACTTACCTGCTGTTAAGGCAGCAGTAAATGATGGGGTTGTACATCGTGGAACTCATAGCCAACCAAAGAATAGCAAGATAAACTTGCTGAATGTATTTCCACCGATTCAGGTCCCGGTATATCCCAGTCATGATGAAATAAATGTGATAGGGAAGCCAACAAATGGCAAAAGTGGCTACCACAATGATCATCATTTTAACAACCTGAAGTGGGAGAAAGAAATGCCATTATCTGTTGAGTCAGAGAAAATAAACAAGTTCATCTTGTAAGCAAAAGCTCATTATCTGTGACAATCTCAAAGCAAAGACACAATGTATGTTATTTCCCCATTCATTTCAAATCTTCACAGAAGATTTAGGATTTAGGATGGTGGGCACATTACTTTATTGCAGTGAAATAAAGACTGAAGAGTGAAGTTGGATATTGATATGAGACTAGAACACAAAACATTTGTTATAAGACAGCTACTGTATGCTGTTATTCTGACAGTACTGTGTGACATAAAAACAGAATTGTGTAACCAGATACACCCTGCAGTTACCCCTCTCTTTTCCAGATTCACTATTCAAATGTCCTGCAACGTAGAGGTACTCTGTTTGATCACTTGAACTTTCAACATTAATTATATGCTTTAAAATGCTTGGTGTCGCGTTTATAAACATGTGATTTAGGTACTTACAGCATTAAACATGCAGTAAAATAACATTTTCAGTCTCTCTAGAGAGACAATTTACTGTATATATTGTAAATTGTTTATATTACTGCATAAAATATTACAAATTGCCATAGGGTACTATGCTGGCCACCAAAATAGTGGAATTTAACATATTATTTTCTTAGTTGTCTTCTTTTTCATGTATTTTCAACAATCCTTACACGTCTTTTGGCTGTAGTATCAACAGAAAGACATCCTGTGGCTATAACTGTGTATCAAAATTTCCCTGTGACATCCTGTAGCTGGACTGCAATTTATTTGTCACTGTGTCACTGATTTACTTCCTTACCCCCACCAAAATCTCCTTTTTCCTAAGAAGAAGAAGCTGCATTTTTTATTCATGGGATTTTCCCCAGCCCATCTTATTATTAATTTAAAAATTATGCACTGTACTCTCTTTGCATCTTCCTCCCTATCTCTTTAGCCCTCATGCTGCACAGTCATTTTCAATTTAAACCGAGGATCCCAGAAGATCACTGTCAATGGCTATAGACACCTATGTCAGTTTTCTACTGCACAGTGAGCTTTTTTGGATAACCTCAAAAGAGCAGCTAATATGAACTGAAATTTGTTCTTCATAGAAAAAGAATAATTACTTGCCAACATTGTATTTCTTTATTAAATTATAGACTGGAGAGTGAGAGTTTCTGTGCTGTCTAGAATGTGTATGCTAGAATACTTAGTATGTCTTGCAAATCTTTGGCATCTTACCTTTCAAAGATCTGAATATACAGTACTGTGTATGTGCATTTAATATTAAAATGCTTTAGTTTATGCATAGTTATAATTACATTATTAATGAGACATATTTCTGTGCAGATTGCCTAGAAAACTCAAAACAAAAACAGTGACCTTATGCTTCAGAAAGACTCGATTGCGTTAATATTACATTTGTTAATGTTGTGATGAAGCCAAAGAGGCTGGAGTGATTACCTCAGAGCAGAGCACTGAAATACTGTACAATAGGTGCATCATCACTCCAGTGAATGGCTGGTTGAGCCTGAGCATTCTACATGGGAAAATTAGGGAAATCAACGACACCTGCTGATTTCTCTGACTAGGTAAACGAGTGAGACCAGACAAAGATCGACTGCAGCATTAGATGGAGAGCAGTAACATTGCAGGTGTAAACAAAGTAGAAATTGTATGAAAAGGACTAGAGAAAATTAGAGCACATACTAGTTATAAGCTGTCGATGGTTACCATCTCTGATTGTCAGAGAAAACATTTTATTATTCCTAACTTTTGGCCAAAGTGTATCTGCCAATCAGCACTCTAACCCTAAACAGAGTTAGAAAAAGTATCCAAATTAGGTTGATAAAGAAGCAAAGGTTAGAACAATTCTGACAAACACCTGACCGATCCTACTAGAGCTATAAAAACAACTTACATATGTATGGGTTTATGTATTAGTACTACGTGTCCAGGTCTTTCCCATCACTCTACCCCATAGAAGGATCTGTTGCAATGTAATATGTAATTATTTCATAATCATTTTAATAAAAAAATATTATTTTACCTGTTTATTGTCCTGAAACACCATTCCATATACAGTAGCATTTCACACCATGACAATCGATGCAATTAAGATTTTAAGCTACAGTAGAACTAAAGTTCAACGGTACCACTCCTCTGAATTGAATTAACCTTTATTGCCTTTTGTTCATTTAGATACAGTAGTTTTTCAAGACAAAATAAATTACACTTCACTCCTTTTGTCACCTCTCAGAGAGTCTGTTATGTTATCACTGCTGGATCTGGCAGCTTATAAATCACGAAAGAACTCTTTCAGGTATTTTGTTTTTGTCTGTGTGTATCTAGAAAAAGTAGAAACCTCAGGCTTATCAGAAGTGTTTTTAGGAGAATTTTTAGGAGGATACAAAAGACGTCCTTCAAAAGACTTTGTCTTATGTTTTCCACCTACTGAACACAAGAAGGTTAGAAGGTGTATTTTCTTTACCAGGAGTTTGTTTTCCTTCTACTGAAAGCTGATGGACTTTAATGTACAGTAGCGTGCAATTATTGCTTAAAATATTAATCAGTTTCAATAGAATTGATTACAACAGGACTATGGTAATTTTTAAAAAGTAAGAATTCAGTTTTAAATCCATTTGCTACTGGACAAATAGTATGTAATACAAGCATAAATTAATGTCAAAAGAACATGAGTGCCATGAAAAACTGAAAACATACAGTATATAAACCCTTTTATTGATGGTTTTTTTTTCAAAAAGTCAAATCTCTGTATAACAAAAGAAAACTAAATCATATTAAGGTTTGATTTCAAAAGTGAATTTTAAAAATTTTGACAATTTCAAAGATTGTAATGAGAATTCTGTGGAGCCTGGTCTTCGGCAGAGTAAGAAGGACTTGAGTCACAAGATCTCACACTTGGGCTACTCTTGCCTTCGTCCTTGAGATAACCTGGATGATAACTATTAATATTATGTGGGTTTTTTTGACAATGCGAGAGTCCTAATATGAATTTCAAATGACAACACAAGGTCAAATATTTCTAACTTGCATTTGATTGAATCCCTTTTGATATGTTTTAGGAGGTATTGTAACGAACAGTACTTTCCGGACCCTATGCGGACGACACAATCCGAAGAAGTGGGGAAACACTAGGAAAACGTCATGCAGGAATACGGGGCCGAAAACAGGGGGGCGTGTCAAAAGTGCGCTGGTGCACGGAATTAAGTCTAAAGTGAAAGGGCTGGAGCACCCTTAAGGAGGGGGGACTATAATCGTGACAGGTATTCAATAAACATACATAAACTTTGTTCTCCCGCTACTTTACCTTTGCCTACTGCCCTGTCTCTCTCACACCTGAAGAAGGCTCCACAGCCGAAACGTTGTGTTCTCTTTCTTCTTTTTTTCAGCATGGAATAAACCTATTACTTGTTCCTTTGCATTCTATAAACATGTTTGGTTTCACTTCTCACATTAGCCCATTCCTTAAGAAAATTGACATTCTTTGCTCAACTATTCCAGTCTTATCTTGTTACTTTTGCATTGGTATCATGGTCAAAAATGCAGATGGTAAATCAAATTCCATCCCTTCCTGTAGAAAATATACAGGGAAACTGGACCTCAAGGCAGCATGAATAGATCTGCAGTATGCATTGAGGAGAATCTGAACTGTAAGCTCCTGTTTTGGCAGAGCAGACAGACCACATCCAGAAAATTTGAGCACTAAAGTGTTCAAATCTTGGGCTTAGGTAAGGGACTGATGCCTTTTAATTGTGGACATATTTATTTCATAATAGTGATATCTACCTGGCTAAAATAAATTTTATCTTGTTTGGTGATGCAGTATTTGGGATAAGGAAAAGGTTCCCATTCATTTAGGATTTATTAATTCATTTATTAATACAGTCCTGTACAGGGTAATTTCTTTGACTGAAACAAGTTCCCTCTTTTCCTATACAGTACCTGTGCCTGACGGTGAATTCTATTTTTCTGTAGAAGATAGGACAATAAATGTTTGTGTCTTTCTCAAATAAATATTTGTCTTTTTAAGACTGGTTAATTACTTTGTTACCACACTGTGCTGAAGAACAAAGAAAAATTGTACTGCACCTACTGTATAAGTATTTCTATTCTGTGTTCACTGACAATAAGTGGGTGAGTAATTGTTAAATTTTAACAATCAAAGAATAGTCTGCATGGTAATCTGGTGTCAGGACATAATATCCTCTTTTATAATTCAATTTAATTTATTCAATTGCAGACTTCCAACTCACACAACCTAGCTAACAAAAATATAAATTACTCAATATCAGAAAACTGCTGATGATCAGCATATCAGTGAAAATCTGTCCAAGTGGCAACATGTACATACAGTATAATCATGGGTACTGTTCTTGCATACAGAATTCTATTACCTTGACTTATGTATTAGTAGGAAAGGAACAGATTGTAAACACCTACAATTTACAGATTTGCTCTCCAAACAGAAGGCAACCCAATGAATGAAAGCACAAGTGATGTCCACATAGGTTTCTATGTGATCCAGTAGGACTGACACTAACAAAAGCCACACTTTAGTCCAGAAGAAGAATAGGATTAATTGACTCAGTGTCAGAAGCCATGATAAAATCATTAACTGAGGCTGTTTCAGGACTGAAAAGGTTTAAAAAGCTCATTAGATACAAGATGAGATTGTAATTGAGCTGCCACTAACCAAATGCTTGTGCAAGAAAAAGCAAATTGGAAAAAAGCACAAAGCTCAAGAGTTTATGAAAAATCAAGGTATACATTTTTAAGATTAACCCAGAAAATTCTTTCATACAATTCAGACTTCCAGAATCTGAAATTTCTACTTTTCCCAATATTAGACTAGAATTAACTAGAATAATGGAAATCTTAAAATGGTAATAACAGAAATTTAGTATCAATTATTGTATGGTTCTAATTATACTTTGAAAAAAAAATCTGTTTTTGTTTTTTGTTATTGCGTAATTCTTGTGAATAATGCAAAATAAG